CGAAAAACTAAACAAACCACAGCCCCGCCCCCACGCCAGTACATCTTTCCCAGAATGAGGGAATAAATTAGCTCATTAAAATGCTTCTTTATAAAAGAAAAATAGATATTTATAGAACTGTACATCTCATCTATACAGCATTAGGACAGGGAGCACGGTAAGAAGGGAAATTATCTCCAGAAGTAAGACAGATTCTGGCTCTAGCACCTTTATCCCTCCAACACACACGCCGCTCTTCTCCATTATTTGCTGGAGATTTCTCACTCTGCACAACGAGGCTGGTTCTCCAGGGAGCGGCAGGACGTTACTAAGAGTCTCCTACGGTTCGTCCATTCATCCACCCTCAAGGTTTGGTGTCCAGGACTGGATGAATGAGCTGAGCGCTGGGAGAGCCCGCCCCTCTCCTTCTAGGTTTGACACTCGCTGAGGAGTCGGACCAGTTCTGTTCCGGTCTCGTCCGAACCGCCCGGCGGCTCCATCCTCGGGGGCTCTTCTACAGCTCAGTCCACTGGGTGGTAAGCAAGACAACAAGGGTCCTTCACGTGAACCCTAGGATGTGGAAAACACACTGCTTCTCAGCCGGAGTCGGATTCACTTGTGTCTGAAGATGAGGAGGAAGAGGATGATGAAGAGGAGTCTGAGGAGGAGCTGCTGGCGCTGAGACGTGACGGCTGGGTGTTGGTATCTGTCGCAGGTTTCTCTGCTGGAAAAATGGAAACACACAAACTGTCATGAACATGTGGTCACACACTCGAGTCCTCTGTGATTTAAAACAATCACACATCAGATAAAACAACTTCAACATTTAATCTTTTAATATTAACACATTAAAAACATTCTGCACGTGTCGAGGACTGAGATCTGACTGTTGGGCCTCGGTGGAGCTTGGTGTTGTAATGAGAGACTTACGTTTGGTCTTAGGAGGCTTCTTTCCAGAGTTGAGCTGACCGCTGACGTCCATCAGCCTTCTCTCCAGCTCCTGCTGCTTCTCCAGAGCGAGCTCTTCCCGGGACTTGCCAGCGATGTTTTGTTTACTTGCTACATGCAAATAGAAAAGTAAGGATATCAGTAAGATGAGGGCACTTTATCAAAGAATCTGTATTTTACACAGACCCACGTGTAGACACGCAAGCGTCTAAAATATTTGATCTCTGCACTTGTCCTACTCACCATATGGCTTTCGAGGTTTCTTCCTCAGACACGTCATGACGTATCTCTCCAGCTCTCGCAGCGTCGATGGCTTCAGCGTCTCAAAGTCGATCTCAATCTCCTCAGGGTTGGTGTCTCTGAGTGAGGGCTCGCGGGACTGGATGATGTAAACCACGCGGCCCAGCTTCTCGCCAGGCAGCTTGTTGATGTCCAGGCTGAGCTGACGCTTCTCATCATAAGACATGGGCGCCGTCTCCTCCTCTTCGTCAGAGTCAAAGTGACTCGCTATGGGATCATGGACGGGCTGAGGCAAGTTGAACATCATGCTGCTCTTTTTGGCCCTAGTGGACGTCAGGAGAGGTGGAGAAAGAGAGAGAGACAGTTATGAGACATAAGATTAAAACATGGTCATTAGAAAATACTCATTTTGAACACGAGTGACTATTTGAATCTTGATTCAGTCTCTGGTTTGTTCAACATCAAAGCACTTTGAGGAAACTTGATCCAGAGTGCAGCTTGTGACGTTTGCTTTCAGTTCCAACATTGTCCACTGGGTGTCAGTACTCACTTGCTCTTGTTGTTTTTCTTGCTCGGGGCCTTCTTGATCGGTATTACAGGACAGGCCACGGCGCTTTTACTCTTAGTTTTTGGGGTCTTGGTAATTTTGGGTGCTTTCGGAGGCTTGACCGGCGGCAGCTCTTCCTCCTCTATCCTCCGATGCTTCTCCTTTTCTACCGTCTTCTTCTTTTTCTTCTTGTCTTTCTTCTCTTTCTTTTTCTTAGGTTTGACGATGGGGCCCTGGGAGAGTGCAGTCAGCTGCTCATGCACGGCTTTCAGCTGAAGAGAGACAGATTTGTCATGAAGGAACCCCAGGAAAGGATTTTGCAAACTTAAAACATCACATTGGTCCCACAATCTTAATGATTCTCTGTATAAAATCGAGTACAAACCTGCTCTTGCAGTTCTGCCAGCCGGTTTGCCCTCTCCTCCTCAGAGTCAGAGCTGGGGCTGCTCTCGCTCTCCTCACTTTCACTGCTGAGCTCACTCTCAGATGAGGAAGATGAGGAGGAGGAGGAAGATGAGGAGCTGGGTGGTGCTGGAGGCTCATCTGGCATCTTTGCAAAGCAGAACTCAAAGACATCCTAAAAAGAAGATAGTAGGTCAGTGGACCAGTTTGCAAACAGGAACGTTGAGGATTTGAGGCAATGAACTTAGAATTAGAAATGGTATCAGTGAAATCTGCAGACTAACCTGGAGTTTTCTGGCCATGGCCACCACATCATGATCAGGGGGGTTGTACTTGTAGCAGTTAGAGAACATCAGTCTAACGTCTGCAGAGAACTGCTGGGCATCACGATAATCTCGGCCGTCCATCTTTTGCTAATGACAAGAGGAGAGAAGAACAGATTTTAGTCTACTTCTGAATTTCAGTAAAATTAGACATTTTCCCATTAACAGATTTTAATTATCTGGCATATTGAGATTATCTGCTTTTACTTTCCATGTTTTAATATTTTAAAGGATTTTATACACAGCAGCCTGTGGTTCTCAACAGAGGCCACATGATGGCGATGTAACAGCATTGTATTGTTTATCTTCTTCACCTGATGTGAACTCCTGGACTGAAAAACATAGCACCCCGCTGCTTTGTACTGACACAAGCTGACAGCTGTGTGCCTGCCTAACACAAGTACCTTGATGGTGCTGAGGTCCATGGGCTGTTTGATGATATCGTGGTAGTCGTGGAGGCCGAGTGATGAGGCATCGACAGGCTTGTAGAACGGCCATGCGTACGCTGCATGCTTCTTTGACAGCAGCTCCTTCAGAACCCCGCTGCAGTAGCGTAGCTGAGGGCTCAGCTTGCTGCGGCGCACCTGGGGCGGCAGTATGGAATCTGGTAAATCCTTCTTGGGAGGCTTGATGGGTCGGCCGCTTACTCCTCTCCTGCTGTTCGCTGACGCTTTGGAGCTCATCATCACTGTGCCACGGCCCATACCCATGGCCATACTCATCCCCATCCCCATTCCCATTCCCATCCCCGCGCTGATGCCGAGGCCTTGGTTCATCCCCAGGCTAGAGCTATGGTCCACCTCAAGAGAAGTCAGGGTGAGTGGTAAATTGTGACCATCGCCCATCCCCAGGCTGATGCCACTGACACCCATTGTGCTCATGATTGGCATGGCTACAGTGGTGGGGGTGGTTGTGTCTGCTTTCCTCTTCACACCCCTTTTCTGTAGTTGAAAAAAAAGGACAGGTTAGATGTGTGTTTAGTCCAGAGTTTAGAGTCCAAGTCTACCAAGGATCAAATATCAGTCAACCATTACCTTAGCAGTGGGCTGTGTGGGCGGCAGACTTGTAATGGTGGGGATACTTTGTTCATTTGGAAGCACAGAGGGCATGCTCTTGCTCACAAGTGTTTGTGGGGGGGTGGAGAGAATGGAGTCGGGTGTATCTGGGGTGGGAGGTGAGTACGCTGACTGGGAAACAGCTGGGACCTGATGAGCTGTTGTCACTCCTCCAGAGACTGAAAGAAAAGGGGGAAGAGTCAATCAATCAAATTGTATTTGTATAACTAATATTCACAATTTGTTTCATAGATCTTAACAAGGAGTGACCTCCTCTGTTCTTAACCCTCAACAAGACTAAGGAAAACGACCACAAATAACCTTGGAGGGAGGCAGACTCAGAATAAATACATATTAAATAAACTGAATTGTGCTCATACATCTGTGTTAGCATTCTCATATCTTGCAGCCAGTGCTCACCTGGATTACCTCTGCCTTTTTTGCCAGGTTTGACTGGTTTACTCCGTAGAGGCGGTGATGGAAGCTCCAACTCCTCCTGGGGCATCTGAGCAACTTTTTGTAGGAATGCCTTCTCCAGGGACTGGGCCATCAACACAATGTCATCTGTAGGCTGCAGAGGAGGAAGTGTACAACAGCAGAAACTTTAACGGCAAGATTCCTCAGTACTTTTCTCTACATTTTTAAATTATGGCTGCACGTTCATAAAAAAACCTCACACACTCTTACCTTGTTATAAATGTAGCAGTTGGTAAACATGGTGTTGAAGTCCTGCATGCACTCACTGGCACTGCGGTAGTAATTATTTTCTAATCTCCTTTTAATGCTGCCCATGTCCATGGGAGTTTTGATGATCTTGTGATAGTCCTGGAGGAAGAGAGAGACATTTTCAGGTCAAGAAAATAGGAACAACTTTATCATAACATTACATCTCAACCCTGCTTTTATCCACAGACTTAAAAAACTGTTAAATTAGCCTGTAGTGGTGGAACTGGTGTTTGTTATCCTTCCATAGTCTAAGCTATTAAGATGTCCCCTAACAGTGATGGTAAAATTGGCTGCGAGGGAGAGTTCTTTAGAGAAAATGATTTCAACACAACGTTTTAGGTAAAAATCTGTTGTCAGTCTGAAATAGCTTGTGTCTAACACAGAGAATGACAGAATATTCACAGAATATTCACTCACAGGCAGGCTGAGCTTGACTGCGTCTACAGGTTCGTGGAAGGGCCAGGCAAAGTGGTGCCTCCACAAAGACTTGAGCAGGACTTTTTGCAGGAACTGAAGTTGGTTTGTCATCTTTCCCTCCCGGTTGGGGTCTTTCACCAGAGGTTGGGGGGGTCCCGATGGCATCATCTGACTGATAGGGGGCATCCCTGGGCTCTCAAAGCCCTCGTAGAGCAGTGAAGGTTTTCGGATGCGTTTTCCTGCTGTGCCAGAACCTTGGTCCATCTGTGTGATTCCCATTATGCCAACATCAAGCCCGATGTGGGAGCTGTGGGGAGCATAGTTAAAAAGCCAATGAGCCGTTTATCCAAGTAGCCCAGCCTCATCCCAAGAACATCTAATTGTTGACGAATCAACCAAAATGCAACTCTGTCCATTTCTTAGTTATGAAATGAACCCAGTGTATTTAATGAAAACAGGTTCATTGATAACTTTGATCTTAGGACTGAGATGGAATAAAACCAGTGGAATTTTCAGACGTAACTTTCATGTTAAAAAAAAGCATGACAATTACCTTTATGGATTTTATTCTAATTATTCCAACTTCTGCTTGATGATGCTAATGTCTGATTGTCAGTTTATTCTACTATTACTGGCAAAAAAAGTGACATTACTTTCTCTCCTTACCAAATACAAATACAAATACAAAATATCTGGATCTGACATCTGCTTAACCCAAAGGGTTATTTCCCGGTATTAATGGATTCCCAATATCAGGCCCCTGAAAACAAATATCTATATAAATACAAGTATCTTATTGTGTCATCCTAGTAATAGTGTTCCCTTGTTGACACACTTGCTCATTTATCCCTGTTTATCCTACCGCACCACTCACTCGCATAATGTGGGATGCAAATCCCCTTCACAAGGCACGCATTCTTTACATTACTCAGCAAACATACACCAGCCTGTGTGCTCCTGCCATATCAGCACTCACAGCCCCAGGAGAACAGGCATGACCACCACTTCCTCCACTCTGTCTATCTCAGCGATTACACAGGCAGAAACTCCGCCCTCATTTCCCTGTAGAAAAAACACATTGGTCTCCCAAAGGATCATGGGTGGAGCTTCAGCTGCCATGTTACAGTAATGACTGGGTCATTCAGGACTAGACTTTTCCAGATTACCATAAGCGCGCTGAGAAACTTGTTTCCTACCAGTCGTCCTGCCATGCTATCAATATCTTCCGACACCTTGTTGTCTCACGCACTGCCACTTCTCACATTACCACTATGTACGACCTCCACACCTCGAACAGTTGGAACGTTAGTTTGCACAGGTATAGTAAAGGCTAGTTTAATCTCTACAGAATGCTCAATCATCTCTACAAGTTCACCTGATACAATACCAAGGGCGACTTTGTGAAAACATAATGTAGACCTGACTTACCGTTTTGTTAAGATCACCATAGTGTTACTGTGTTGGTGCCTCTTTGAGTTGCATGTTCCCATGTGCAAACACTACACAACTATCTGACCTCCCCACACACAAGAGCAAGCCACCGGGTTAAAAAGGTGTCGAGTCATGCTTCCAAGACTGGCGATACACTCAATTTGCAATTCACACGGTTTACACTGAAATCACAAAGGATCAATGTTCCTCCTGGAAAAACAACAGAACCCATTTTGACAATGAAATTTAATCGAGTGTCAACATCTCCAGTTACTTACTGACTTTTGATTGCACAAGTGTTCCGAGGGCAAAACGTGAGCGTCTATGGTCATCACCTTGGAAACACACTGAGACTACTTCCAATCTGCTTGTGTCAAAATTTGAATCACAATCAATTGTTGATTGCTTAGATTGAGCCTGTGTAGTGACCCTGATGCAGATATTGGGAGTATTGCATTATTTGCTGCTGTGATTCATCGTCTACCACCTGTACCCCTGATATCCTTGAGCAACAACAACAGTGGACGGTGCGTTCTGTCTCCCATGTATTAAGGGGTTAACTTAGCGGCTCTTACAGGAACAGTTGACATGTATGTAGACAGGACTGTAAGCAATAAATACAAAACTGTACATATTAGAATTACGTAATATTAATGGCAAGGCAAGCCGTTTTGAATGATACAACTTTTGGAAACACATTTGACAGTTAGTGTACTTTATTATTAAAAAGGGGGGAAAGTATGTACATAACATTAACATGACTAAACAAAAACAACCATTCGTCTTAAACTGTAAAATGAAATATTTAAATACTGCACATGTGATGGGGAAGAAGAAATGGATGATGATGATTGCTCAGGTTATAATTAACAAAACGAATACTTGTAGTCATAGAGTTATATATCATAAAAATCCAGTTATTTTTAGTTTAGTTGTTTTACGATAAATACAGCCGCTACTAAAGCTTGTGTGAGATCGAGGGCTGTAACCAGGCAACCAACACCCAACACACCCGATAACCAAACCTCAAACCCGAGCAATAACATCTGACCTGCTCATGTACAGACAAGACAGACTAACAGATAAACCATATAGTACTAACAGTGATGGTGCAACTGGTAACGTTAGTGGAGTTCACCCGGTGCTAACACGCAGTGTCGTTTTACCGGTACACAACAACACCTCACCGTCACATGGCTACAATAACAACCGGCGGAACAAGCAGAAACACCGGCGTGACCTCGCTCCTCCGTTACACCCTGGATATTACATACGATCCCACGGTCTAGTAACAAATCGGAACATGCTAACGATGCAAACTTATATTGTTGTGATTGGGAGTTCGGATCAGATCGGCAACACACGGGCACTTTATCAACAACTCACACCGCCTCCGAGGCGCACAGAGCGGTGGAGCCGCTGCCGCACACGGGAGGGCTTGGATCTGCGAAGCTAATGCTAGCAGCGCTAGCAGCAACTGCCAGGCAGCGGGAGAGAGCGGCCAGCGGCAGAGGCGCTGCGAAAGATGGCGCCGCCACAGAGTGATCAACAGCTCGATACAACCCACGGACACATTTATAATTCCTCCGCACCAATTTCGCCTCTAATCGCTTTAACGAGCTTCGTCCTGCGGAACATTCAGCGTCCGTTTCTCCTCCACTCGTTATCGGGCAAACAGGCTGCGAGCCGCGGTTCTCAGAGAATTATCATGAGAAATGTGTAAATATTCCCCATGGTGGGAAGCTGAGAGTCAGTTTTACCGGTAGATACCTGTCAAGCAGCGGGTTAACGGCCATATCCGTCCGGATGGCTCCGGATTGTTTAGACTGAAACCAGGACCCGTCTCTGCTCGTCGGCTCTCTCGGCTCCCCGCCACAGCGAACTCCTCCCGGTTTGCTTCGGTGAAATGGCGACGCTGCGACTACACCCGTTATTTTATAGACTCATCTTTCACCTCATTGGACAGACTGCCCCGACATGTTCACGCCCACCGCCTTCCCATTAGCTGCTCCCGGTGACCATCAAAGTCGCCACGCCCCTAGACGCTGGAGTTACACTGACAGTCTTTCGGGCCAACCTATTCGCAAGTTTCACCTGTCAGTCAAGAGGACGGCGCTGTTCCATTGGCTGCTCGCATCCGGCTCGACAGAAACACGGCCTGTGATTGGCTCAGCGTTGGATCCTGTACAAAATGGAAGTCGCCCTCCTCCTCCTCGCACTACATTACGTCAACGTGTGCAAAGCGACGACGGTGATTGGACGATACTGGTCTAACGCGGGCTTCCAGCGCGAATTCTAGCAAGCTGATTGGTTCTTCCGCCGGGTCACGCGTATCCCCGAAGAACCCACAGCCTCTCCCCACGCACCAGAATGTCCGCAACACCGCCGCCATCTTTGAGTGTTCAACCGAATTACTGGAATAAGTAAAAACATTATAACAAACACGAACCCGTGTGAACACGTGTCACTCTCTGCTGCTGGGAACACGAGAAAACACACGAGGCCTCGAACACGTTACACACGAACAAAGCTGACAAAGTCCACTGGATCCACCGTGACGACGCAGTGAGCTCCTTCCACACAAAGGCCCCAGGAACCAGCTCCTGAGACCAAACAGCTGAGTGACACAGCACTTTTCTCCTCCGGCCTCAAAACACAGTTTAACCAACTTCAAATTCCTTCTGCTCAAACAACTCTGACAGTTGAACACGATGAAACCAAATGAACCACTAGACTCTTAATCCAGGCCGAGTTTGGACTTCTGATGACTTCACCTTCAAGGACTTTACACGAATAACAATAATAGTAAATCCACAACTGAGAACCACAGAGACCGAGTCAGTAAAGATCCTCCATCGAAAACAACCACAGAGTTAGATAAGCACATGCGCCCATCCCCCACACAAGGTTACAGATTCCCCACAATGTCACTCGAATGCCCCGTGAGGTGAAACTGTCCTCAGGGCTCAACACTACATCACTTCTCCTGCTCATTCCGGCGACACGTCAAAACAAAGAAAGGTCAAATATCCTAAAATTAAAAAAGTGTTTTTTTAAAGTATGGTAGTTGAAAAAAGAAAATTGAGATTACAGTGAATACAAGAGTCGAGAGGTAAATTCCAAAACAAAGCGCAACCTTTCTTCAAATTATCTTCTCGTCTTCCAGCTGGATTCTCTTTAACCAGCACATTTCCCTCCAACATGTCCGCCGCCTTCTTCCCCCTGTGCTGCTGGTGGGGGGAGGGGAGTCATGTGACGCTGCGGCGCACTCTTCGTCAAACCTGAACACGTGGCACTGCGCAAACTATCGGGAGCACTTCCGCGGTTCGTCCTGTGGGAAACAGAAGCCTCCTCCGGCGGGTGCGCACCCTCACGCGCGGATGTGCGCCGGGTTTCGAGCTCACATTTGGGTCAAAGTTGCAGGAAAATCCGAACAAAGCTTGAACCGTCCGCTTCCGCTCGTGCGCTGCGATTGGTCCCAGGCGGTCACATGACCAGGAGGACTCCGGGGCTGTTGACGGAGCAGTTCGTGGTTTCGCTTCTTCGTGATGTGAAACCTGCAGCGAAGCGAACGATCCTCCGCGATGTTCGCGTCTCAACAGCGACGCGAACATCAACTTTTCTCCAGGAGAAGATTTCTCTGGATCCCGGGGTCTTGTTTTCCACCGGGACGCGTGCGCCTGCGCAGAGGCAGCGAAGAAGCCCTGGGTCCCGGTGGAGGAGGTTGATCCAGCAGCTGCTCACGTTAGGTTTTATTCTCCCTGCATCTCCCTGAATCACACTTCTCTCAGTACTGAATGTCCTTTTGCTTAAGTCCATAAATTAATTGTGAATTTGCTGCCAACCACATTTTTTGTAGTATTTGTCAGCCACAAGTGTCCAATGGTTTGGAAGGGGCCCTTACATTAGAAACAGAAATATATGATAATACAGAAATATGGAAAGAATTATTATTAATTCCTTATTACTTCATTTAGCTCTGTCTGTCTCCTGCTGGGAAGATATTTTCTCTGCAATGCCACTAAAATACAAAGGATGGAACAAATCTATCTATCTGTCTGTGGTGTGAATTTGTATTACTTTATAATCTGTTGTCACATTTTATCGGAGGATCATAAATCATTAAGTCAGCGTTTTAGTTTGCAAAGTGTCTGATTCACATACAATTATATGCAGGGATATATAACATTGATAATAAATCAAGGTGGAATCACAATGTAATATATTGAAATAAATTATCTAATTGACAAAAGCCCCAAACCAACATTTTGACTGGTAAAATCTTTTGTACCTAAACTCAGACACAAGGAAAAATAAAAACAACTTTTGTTTTATAAGTTAGTTCTCAATAATTAACTTTTTCAATCTTACTGTCTTGACGTGTGATGAATGTGAGCTTGCACTCAGACGGATGTTTCTGTCAGACGTGATCAAAGCGGTTCCTCCAGACACAGAATGGTTTCTATATTTCACCTGTCGCTCACTGGAGTCACCTGCTGATCTCATTGTTTAATGGCTGATTGAAGAACAACAAGTTTACACCAGAAAATGAACTCGGAAATCTGCAAATAACAAACCCCAGAACTCTGTGACTCAAACACAAAAAATATGATTAAGAGCAAAGTTAAACTGAGGCCACCCTAATGTTTCATGTCACAACACAGTGGCTGAAAACTGAATTACAATTTCAATATAGATTTTCTGCTAATATGTGCTAACCACATGTTTTTAATCATTTGGGATGTTTGGGTTGCTGAGGTGTGGATTCCTATTGGACGGGATCCACAAATAAACAACACAGAAAATACAAGATAATAATAAAGAAATAGGGAAATGTAAATAAATTATTCAAAATATATTAATTTAATCTTAACTGAATAGGATTGGATTTATATAGTTTAATAAATATAATCTATCTTCCAGATGACAGTGAGATATTATTATTTATCTATTTATGAGTTATTATTATTATTTTGTGGGGAACCAGGATCTGACCATGCAGGAAAAGCCATGTAGGCAGGGGAACAGGAAGGAGGGAGGGGTCGGCAGATTACGTCAGAATCAGCCTCCTCTGACTCATCATCAGTCTCTCTCTCTCTCACACACACACACACACAGATTCTCATTGACATAATGCATTCTCCAGATCCTCACTCCAACAGGCATCACAAATAATCCCCTAATCTAATTACATCCATGTCTCTAAACCTCTAAACTCTCAAAAGGCTGTTTTTAAGTTGTGATGATCAACCAAAATGTCCTCAACACATGGTGTCAAACATTAATTTACCCACACAACCATAAACATATTTACACACACACTCCCCTCTATTGACCTCTCTGTCTTTCTCAGAGCTTGGCCAAGGAAGCTCCGCTGGTAAACCTTCCTTAGCAACAACAGCCCCTTGGGCAACTGGTGCAGGCTGCAGCTTTCAGACACAGAGGAACACTGTTCATGAAATCTTCCTGTGCTGCAGCCTTGTCGTCTCTTGAACGCCACATTCTCACATTCAGCGTCAGTTTCATGTAACGAACCCACAAAGAGAGCTACACACCCCCACATACTGTCTGCCACCAGTGCTACTCACTTAATCTTTGATTTAAAGTTGTTCAGTAGAGATGGGTTTAATTCAAACACATTATTTGTCACTAACTTCTTTATCTCTCCACTAAGAAAATACACATTTCCAAATAAAAATTACCTCCTTTACTTAATTCGTGTTCATTTACAGCAGCTCTGTAATCAACAGGTTTGTATCCCTGACAAATCATCATTTTTGTGTGTTTGCACATCAGTAGGTTCAGTTCAAGTTGCTTTTTCTCAGCTTTATGACAGAGGTCGATAAGATAATTGTGTAAAACTCTGGTTTTAAAATGTCTTCTTCTTTTATTATTCATTTTTAGCTGCCACTTTTCTTCTAGCAATAGAGAGATAAGGAGCCGGAATCCATTCGAAAAGCAAAGCTCATGGACACACACAGTCCCGAGGAGGAAACTATCCAAATCCAGGGCAACAGCAACTGCCTGATTATGTAGTCATGCAAAATGAGTTGTAAATGTGTGAGCAGGGACACTTCAGTGTCCTCTCAGAGGAGAGAGCGGGACAGAGGTGAATGATTTCCTCTGAATGGAGACTGACTTTCTCTGAAGTCTGAGAGGAAGACAGAATTACTGATCACTGATATGAGATGAGATTAAAATGCTAATCCAGTAAAACTAATCTCTTTGGCAGCAAATGTCTCTGACTCAGATATGTTGCACACAATGTCAATCACACCTTTATGTCCACAAAACCATAAACACGTGTCCAAATATATTTTTGTATGTGCAATTAAATTCCAAGTGTTTTTATGAGATTTTTTTCATAAAAGCAACTGAATATTGTTTCTCTGCACTAATGTTAAAGAAATACAAATGTGGGGCTTTTTTCTTAATCAGGATAAATGTCTTTCTCGATGAATATGAGCTCAGTGCACGTCACAGCTGTTGATCTGGATTTAACAGACAAATTCAGCTTCACAGAAACAAGAGGAATTATCATTTCTTTTAATGAAGGAGGATCTTGTGTGGGGGGGGATTAGTCCTAATTTGAGGAAAGAGCATCTCACCAGAAGGTAAAGATTAAGATTAGAGGTTACACTGAAGTGAACGAGGAAGAAAAGAATCCTCATGTTCAGCAGCAGGTTGAGTTAAATCTGAAATTCAGTTCCACTCTTTCAATCAAAGCGCCATCTACTGGACACTTTCAGGTTACAGAAAGACACTGTGCAATGTTATGTTGCCCTCTAGTGGCCAGCGAGTTAAAATGGACGACAAAGCAAATTAGATTTTATAGCAGCTGTACAACTATCATCATCAACAACAACAACAACAATAATAATAACAACAACCACAATAATAATAGTAGTATTAGCAGTAGTAGTAGTATTGCTGTGAGGTAGGGCCTGATGCTGGGCAGGAAATAGGAGATATAATTAAAATCAGCAAAGATGATCACTGATATGAAATTAGATTAAAATCCAGTAAATCTAATCTCTTCGGCAGCAATTGTCTCTGACTGTCTTAATGTAAAATATTTTGCACACAAACAGTGAGCCACTTACAATATTATTTATAAGATCACTTAGAATGTTCAATAATATTTATATCATCATGGATACACTTACCATACCATAGTATTTATATCATGGTCACTTTACGTTGCAATATTTTTGATTTCATTTTATTTCATTTATGCTTTGCAGTATTATTTATGTCATGGTCACTTACTTTTTGCAATATTTCTTATATTATGGTCACTTTACATTACAATACTTTTTTATCATAATTTATAATAAAAAAATGTCCCCGTTGTGGGATGAATAAAGTATATATAATCTCCTCTAACTAAGGCTCACATCCTTTTTGTTTGGGCAACAAGAAGTCCAGAGCATGAGTTTCACCACCTTCAATCATTTTATATCAAGTCCTATTTAATTCCACTAGGGGGCGCTCAGGATCTATCATCAGACTCTCTCTGGTTCACTCGGTGGAGTCGAGGGGAAATCACATGATATTTGGGATTAATGGTGAAGGTGCCTGAAACAAACACATGGGGTGCTGTTGCTCTTCCTCGTGATCGTCATCACAAAACCTCTGCAAGAGTTCAAAACTGAAAACACTGCTTCTCTGAACGCTCAGGGTTTCCACTGGGCCATGAAAAGATTTAAATGTCCTTGCTCCGAGGTTTCCAGTCCACGGTGTGTTAGTGGCTGCAAGAAATCCAAACACTGATATGAGCCATGTTCACCAACTGTGCAGGTCCCAGCTGTTGAACAGGATTTAGACTGTGTCAAATGTTAATGTTCAATTTTACAATACATGCATCAAACTTAAAAATGAGGCATTTGTCGGCATGATACAGATTTTAGCACGCTGAAATAAAAATACTAATATATATATATTAAATAAACGCCTCAGTCAGAATTGATCCCAGCTCACGTGTCTGAGATTAAATCTACTGTTTCTGTCTGTGAAGAGACCATGTTTTGTCTCCAGGTTTATTCTCTACTCTGCTACTTCACTTTATCTTCAATTATGAGGAAGTGTAA